TTATACTTTTTGTAGAATTTCTATATTGAGGAAGTCTTCATCATAAGTTGATATATGAGACCTCCTCTGTGTTCACATTTTTTTTTAAACTAGTGAGACCATAGTTCACCCAGTCTCACAAATTCTTTTTTTTTTAGTTTTATCCTTTTTTTTGTTATTTTTATTTTTATTTATTTTTTTATTTATTTATTTTTTACAAATAGTTTATTGTCAAATTAGTTTCCACGTAACACTCAGTGCTTATCCCCACAAGTGCCCTCCTCCATGCCCATCCCTCCCCCCCCACATCCAACAGTCCTCAGTTTTTGTCAGCATTCAAGAGTCTCTCATGGTTTGCCTCTCTCCCTTTCCCCCACCATTTTCCCCCTTCTTCTCCCCCTTGTTCCTCACTTAAGTTCCTCCTAATCCTCCTATACGTGCAAACATATGATATTTGTCTTTCTCTGCCTGGCTTATTTCGCTCAGCATAACACCCTCAAGGTCCATCCATGTTGCTACACATGGCCAGATTTCATTCTTTTTCATTCCCATGTAGTATTCCATCGTATAGATAAACCACATCTTCTTGATCCATTCCTCTGTTGATGGACACTTAGGCTCTTTCCATGTTTTAGCTATTGTGGAGAGTGCTGCTATGAACATTGGGGTCCATGTGCTCCTATGCCTCAGCATTTCTGTATCCCTTGGGTAAATTCCTAGCAGTGCTATTGCTGGGTCCTAGGGGAGTTCTATTGTTAGTTTCCTGAGGAACCTCCACACTGTTTTCCAGAGGGGCTGTACGAGTTTACATTCCCACCAACAGTGTAGGAGGGTGCCCGTTTCTCCACATCCTCGCCAGCATCTAGAGTTCTCTGATTTGCTCATTTTAGCCACTCTGACTGGCGTGAGGTGGTATCTCAGTGTGATTTTGATTTGCATTTCCCTGATGAGGAGGGATGCTGAGCATCGTTTCATGTGTCTGTTGGCCATCTGGATGTCCTCTTTGGAGAAGTGTCTCACAGACAACTTCTAAGAGTCATCTCTTTGATTGCTTTTACTTCACAGTCCTTCATATATAAAGAGTTGCTGAGATCTATCTGGCTTAAAGCCTTCATTGTTTTTCCAGTTCATCTTATCTGTTCTGTTCTGTCTGTCACTATTATTTTTTTTAACGTTTATTTATTTTTGAGAGAGAGAGAGAGAGAGACAGACAGTACATGAGTGGGGGAGGGACAGAGAGAGAGAGAGGAAGACCCAGAATCCGAAGCAGGCTCCAGGCTCTGAGCTGTCAGTACAGAGTCTGATGCTGGGCTCGAAGTCATGAACAGTAAGATCGTGACCTGAGCCAAAGTCAGATGTTTAACTGACTGAGCCACCCAGACACCCCGTCTGTCTGTCACTATTTTAGATCAGGTGCCAGTTGGTGTTTTCATCTCTTACCTGATTTCCATGATGTAGGGTTGGTATTTTTTTTCACCATTGATTGTCTTAAATGAAATCTGTGTCCCTCTCCTTAAAACCTTTTAAAACTCCTTGTGAGCTAGGGGTTCAAATTAAGTGTTCTTAATGTTACAATTATAACTAATTCTTACCCTTTAAATGAGTTCTTGACTACTTCACCATGGATTAGATACTACTTTTCTGTGTAGTAGACAACTCCAATATCTGAACTTTATATTACCTTTGAGAAAGGAGTGAAGAAAAAAAATAACTTGTACATAGGTAGAATTTCCTCCTACCTAAGAAGAGTATAGTGACAGGTGAAGTCTAAGTGTGGTAACAGGTTTAAAGCTCCATTGCAGTAAAGCTTTTTTTTTTTTTTTTTTGGTTCCAATAAAGTTAACGTACAGTGTTATATTAGTTTCCAGTGTGCAATATAGTGATTCAGCGACTCTCTACATTACTTAGTGCTTATCATGTTAAGTGTATTCTTAATCCCCTTCACCTACTGCATACATTCCCGACCCCCCTCCACCCCCCATATCCACTCTGGTAACCATCTCTTCTCTGTAATTAAGAGTCTGTTTTTTGATTTGTCTCTTTTTCTCTTTGTTTAGTTTCTTAAATTCTACATATGAGCAAAATCATGTTATTTGTGTTTATCTGATTTATTTCACTTAGCATTATACCCTGTAGATCCATCAATGTTGTTGCAAATGGCAAGGTTTTATTCCTTTTTATGGCTAAGTAGTATTCCATTTTATTTGTATACCACATTTTCTTTATTATCTATTAATGGACAATTGGGCTACTTCCATAATTTGGCTATTGTAAATAATGCTGCTATAAACATAGGGGTGCATATATCTTTTCAAAGTGTTTTCATGTTCTTTGGAAAAATATCCATTAATGGAATTACTCGATCATATGGTAATTCTCTTTTTAATTTTTGAGGAACCTCCATACTGGCTTCCATAGTGGTTGAACCAGCTCACATTCCTACCAGTAGTGCAGGAGTGTTCCTTTTTCTCCACATCCTCAACAACACTTGTTGTTTCTTGTGTTTTTTATTTTAGCCATTCTGACAGTGTGAGGTGATATCTCATTGTGGTTTTGATTTGCATTTCCCTGATGATGAGTGATGATGAACATCTTTTCATGTGTCCATTGACCATCTATATATCTTTTTTTTTTATTGCCTGTTCATCCGCCCATTTTTAATTAGGTTATTTGTTTTTGGGGTGTTGGGTTTTATATGTACTTTATATATTTTGGATACTAACCCTTTATCAGATATGTCATTCACAAATACCTTCTCCTGGGGCGCCTGGGTGGCTCAGTCGGTTAAGCGTCCGACTTCAGCTCTGGTCATGATCTCATGGTTCATAGGTTTGAGCCCTGCATCGGGCTGTGTGCTGGCAGCTCAGAGCCTGGAGCCTGCTTCAGATTCTGTGTCCCCCTCTCTCTCTGACCCTCCCCTGCTATGCTGTCTCTCTCTCTCAGAAATAAATAAAAAATTTTTTATTTATTAAAAAAAATTTTTTTTAAAACAAATACCTTCTCCCATTCAGTAGATTGTCTTGTAGTTTTGTTGACAGTTTCCTTTGGTATGTAGAAGGTGCACGAAAGCAAGCAAGCAAGCAAGAAAGAAAGAAGGAAAGAAAGAAAGAAAGAACTAACATTCTAAAGAAAGATTGTACACTTTAAGAGGGAGGATGGTAGCATACAGAAAAGCTGGGTGTCAGAAGAGAAAAGTTGGCAGTGCCATTCAAAACATTATTGGAGATTTAACCATCCCTATTGGGCAGTCCTGGCATGTTCTTGTATCAGTCCTGGCATGTTCTTGTTGTGTAGATAAAATGTATCGGCCTGTCAGTGCCTGATAGCATTCAGCATTCTAATCACAGTCAACTCCCTTTGCTTACCACACGATGATCTGGTTGACATTTAGGAGACATTATGGTTTGCTTTATAGGAAGAAAGACTACTGTTAGTTTTCTTGGCTATTAAATTTCTCTTTGTAAATCAGTACATTGGATTTATATACCAATCTTTTGTAGTGTCACTAACTTGGTGGTTATACTGATCCAGTTATACATCTCTTCAACACACTGCAGTCACTAAGACATAGTACCTAGTAGCACTTCTTGCCAGCTGGTTAGCCAGCTTCTCCAGTGACACCTTCCACCATGATATGTAACTCTTTATGATTTCTTTGTTCCAATGGCCTGTGCAAACATTTTTCTATGGGCTTCTAAAAATGTTAATATTTAAATGATTTGGGTAAATCGAAGAGCTATTGAATGGTCTTTTAATATAGTGATGTTTCCCTACAATGTTCTAATCCATGGTTTTAATTACTAAGTACATTATTATAAATTTGCTAGGTCTTCACTCTCCCTAACCAGTCCTACCCTCAAGATTTGTATAATAAATGTTGAATTTTGAATTTATTCATAGTAAAACAGTGAATTCAGGGCTCAAAATTATACTGTACTCTCCCTTCCTGGATGTTTGCAAAGTAGCAGGCATTTATCAGACACTCACTGTGTGTCCAGCAGTGTATTGAATTATGTTTAATACTTAAAAAAAAAAAAAAAAAAAAAAAAAACCTCTCCTGCAAAGCACTTTTTAGAGATGAGGAATCTGAGACTCAGAAAGATTAATAATTCTCNTGCTGTGGGCTTTACCTGTAATAAATATATTCTTCAAAAAAAAAAAAAAAAAAAAAAAAAAACATCCCTCCCCTAAATAAATGGTTTAAGAAGCCTGGAGGTCAGGTGGGTGCTCTTCCGGTCTGATGTAAATTATTGTTTGCAAAGTAGCATGCATATGGGACCTACTCACTTCTTGTTAAAAAATATAAAAAAAAAAAAAAAAAACTTAAAAAAAAAAAAAAAAAAAAAAAAAACCTCTCCTGCAAAGCACTTTTTAGAGATGAGGAATCTGAGACTCAGAAAGATTAATAATTCTCCCATAGTCACAGCTAGGAAAACAGCAGAGTTGAGGTTTAAATCACAGCTGTTAATTTCCAAAGTTACTTCTCTCCCTAGAACATTTAGTTATGTTTAGATAAACATACATGTTTTAGTAATTCTAGATAATTTTTATAAACCTATAGAACTCTGTGCTACATTTATTTTGGATATTTGTCAAATATACTTGGGATTTTTTTAAAGAAAATATTTTGGCTTCCATGTAATTATAAGCACTTAATTTATACAATTGATTTCTCTGAAATAACATCTTGCCTCGTTAAAACAACCTTTCTTTCTCCCAAGCTAATTTCTGCAAGCTTGGTTCATGCCAACAGTTTCTTTATTCAGTATTTTCTATGACATATGTGACTGTTTTTCTTACAAATGTTTCTATTTTAAAAGGTAGCACCATTTCCCAACAAAGTCTCCCTATCCTTCCCCAAATGTAAATCCTGCCCTTCAGCAGCGGCAGGCGCTCTCTGCATTGTTTTCCGCTGGAAGTGTGAGCTGGAGGGGACAGACATTCCCACTGCTAAGCTGGTGCACTAAAGCTCCGATCTGCCCTTGTTGTATTATTAATGGCACACTGTTTTTATGTTGCAGATGGCTGAGAGCTAGCAAGGAAAATTCAGGACACCATGATGGCTCAGTTTCCCACAGCTATGAATGGTAAGCCGCTTTGTGCTTGTGGCAAGATAAAGAGGTTATGGGGGTTTTGTGGGGTTTTTTGGTAGAGGTTATAAAAATACTCATTTCGATATTTTTCCTTAAACTTATAAATGCAAAACTTAAAGTGTTCTTATTGAAAATGTTTTGCTAGTTTACTTCAGAACACTGCAGTAAATCCTGTGACTCAGTATAAGCATGTCTGCAGTATCCTCTGGAATGTGTGCTTGCCTTTGAGCAGTTAAGAATAACCTAAAGGTATTTTGTGTTTGATGCATAAAATGGGAGGACAAAAAGCAGAGTGCTATAAGGTGAAGAATATTAAAGATGTTTTCTATAGTGGGATGATTGTATACTAATTGAGCCAATAAAGATTCATTTAGTAATCTATACATATAATTAAGTTTTCCTTTTATAAAGGATTGTGTATGCCTACCCACATCATTGTTTAATATGAAACATTTTTAAAGAAAATGTTTTGGTAATTTCAGTAACAGAAAGTCTTTAAAGTTTCTTTTCTGATTCTAGTTTTAATTCTTTTCCCAAAAACAAATTGACCCACCCTTAGAGAGTATGAAGTTACTATATATGTCATTTAGAATTAATTGAAAAATACATTATGTTTTTAAATTGCTAAAGAAATCTAAGGTGCAAAGTTCTTAATTTTGAGGTAAATTTCATTAGCCAGTTATAAAATAAAAAGTAATAGTCTAGTCAGTAACTCTTTTAACATTTAAATTGAAAGCAGTTACATTAAAGAACATTAGGGGAAAAAAGAGGGAAGCATCATGAATAATTCTAGCACTTGCAAAAAGCAATTCTGTTTTAATGTTACCATGAAGTATTTGATCAGTTACATTTTTTAAAAAACCACGTTTTCAGTCAAAGGACCAAATTAAGCACATCATTAATACAAAAATACATGTTGTATATCTAAAGTTTAAAGATTCAGTATTGACCTTGTGAGATTTAGGAAAGTTTTGGAAAGATGAATTATTTGTGTAAAAAGTAAAACTAAATTCTCTGTGGAAGAATTCAGTGTTGAGTCAGGATGAACTTGAAATAAAGGTTTTGTTTTTGCCTTTTTAGAACTCTTAATTAAAGATCAGTGTAAGCTTTGCTGGAAATGGTGCGGGATTATGAAAATTATTTGATGCCACAGACAGTTTTTAAAAATGAGATAATGGGGTTTTTCCCCCATAATGAGTGATAAACATAAGTTTAGAATCAGGGCAGTAATTATAGTACTAATGTGCTCTTCCCAAATTTGAAGATTTCTGTGCAGTATACAAAGGAGTTTGTATTAAATACATAGTTTAGTTGTAAACTTCAACCAAAGTATTTAGAAGTATTGTAAATAAAATGAACATAAAAGAAAACCGTATAGACCCAGTCTTACTTGATTCTGTTTCTTCCATTCCCTTAACATTTATGTATCTACTTTGCAGCTCATTGCATTATATACAAAAGAATGAATAATATTGGGCAAAATGTTGGACAATAACTTATAAGTGATATATAGGAATAAAGGTAGTAATTTTTTACAACTTCTGAAGAATTGTTAACAAATGTAGAATGTGGTATCCTCTCACTTAGGTATAATGTATTGAAGATAATCTTTTATGTATCTAAGTGAAGTGCAATTCATAGTTTCAGAGCTTACTGGGAGAGGCACCCACATATATAGCACAAAGCCTTCAAAAGCAATGTTTGCTCTTCTAGTAAATCCTCAATTATAGATGGTGTTAAATCTTTTCAATGCCCAGTACTGTTGGAACTTGTCTATAAATGCCCTAGACCAAGCTGTGTGTCTAAACACTTCTGATGTATTTCTCATATTTTGCCCTGTTTTATTATCCCAAGACTAACCAGAGACTTTAGGCTTATTTGGTCCTCACAGAGCTGTGCTGCCTATATAGTAGCCATTAGCTACATGTGACTATTTCAACTTAAATTTAAATTAATAAAAATTAAATAAATTCAGTCCCTCAGTCACATAGCCACATGTCAAGTTCTGAAAGCCACATGTGGCCAGTGGCCATTCTGTTGGAAATGGTGTGGGGTACAGATACAGAACATTTACGTCATCTCAGAAAGTTCTATTGAGCAGATATTCTTTTCTTAGTCTCTTTGATGCTTCACTTCCCATCTCCTCAACAGAGCAAAAAAGATCAGTGCGTCATAATTTTACCACTCGTGACTCTAATTCTGGTGTCTTCTGCACCAGCAGAATCATCCTTGCCAGAGTCTTCTTTAATCATGGTAGGTTTGCTTTCTGCTTTTCAAACATGTAATAAAACTGTAAATACAGAGAGCCTGATATTTGAGTCATCAGGTGATAAGCAAGAGGGTACTTCAGATTCATGTCGCTGCCTGTTGATTGTAGTGTAATGTGGCTTGTTCCAGCCTTAAAATCATGGGGGTACTGAAGCCTGGTTCTAGAAATAAGGAGTTCTGAAGCCTGTGGCAGTGGTCATATCCAAAATAGGGAAGAGGAGAGGGACGCCAGGGAGAGAACAGGAATAGCGAATGGCTAGAAAAACTGCCACTTTATTTTTAGAGTTTTATTACCTTTTTAGAATTTGAGAGTTCATTAGTCTTTTCATCTCTGTAACTAGGAAATTGTAACATTGGGCCTCCAGAATCATATGGAGTACTGTCTACGTTTCCATCAGCCCAAGAGTTTATTATTCAAGTCCCCGTTGAGGCTTTAGTTCTATCTAGGCCAGTATTCTAGTTGTGTTTTAGAGATTTAAGTTTGTATTGGGTCAACATCCATGATTTGACTGTTATTTTGAACTGGACCCAGAAATAGCCTTCATTTAATTTCACAGCCTATGAGGAGGGTATAACATGTTTGAATTGTGTACATTCAGAACTAAGTGTTAGAATACTGCTAACTCCTCAGCTCTGTGACTTAACCTTGTGGGACGTGTGTGTGTGTGTGTGTGTGTGTGTGTGTGTACATATATGTAAAACAGGGATGATACTATTTACTGTAGGAGATTTAGCATATAGTGGATGTTCTATAAATCTGTGTTTTTCCTTCTGCATAGACCATAAGAACATTTTTGACAGAGCCAGTAGGTGAGAAGATGAGAATAAGCAACAGAAATCTTTATGAAAATACCACATTCTCAATTTAGTGATAAGTGGGGGAAGTGGATAGAATTTCAATACATTTCTAAAGCGATCAGACAATGTAAAAGGTTGTTAGCTTTTTAAGGAAATATTAAATGTTAACCCCATAAGCTTTCCTGACTTTGTACAAGGCTTACAAATAAATAAAGATCAATATTGGGAGATGTTTTACTGGAAGTTCAAAATAATAAACTGTTGGCTCTTTAAAAGATGCTGTTAGTATATATTCTAAGAAAGCTAGAATTGGATAAAGTATTTTAAAATTGTTTTTGAGGTATATAGATTCCCTAGTTTTCTTATTTCTATTTAATTTGTCTTTTCTGTGAAATTTTTAGTGCATTAATATTTTTCACTTTAATGTGGTCATTTTTTGGAAGTGCCCATGTTTAAAGATTATTTAAATACTACTTAAAAATTATTCCTTTTCATAATGCTTTAGAACATTTTTAATCTGTAAGTGACATTAATCATAATATTTAATTGTGATTGTTGTATGTGATTCTTTTGGCTGAGGAAGTCTCTGAGCTCCTTTAAGGAGTTCATTTTATTCATCCTTGTACCCCCAGTCCTTGATCACAGTGGTGCCCCATGTTTTTTTGACTGAATGCATACAAAGGTGTAAGGGTTACTGGTTGGAGTAATGAAGAACTAAGCAAGAAGTCAGATAGGTTGCGTTGGCCACTGTGAAGACATGTAGCCAAGGGAAGCTGAGGAGGTAGTGGGACATAGGAAAGCACTCTCCTGATGCCATGGATCCCTGCAGTCTTACGAAGCCGGCTGCCACTCTCTGGGGACGTACCCTGGTGTGTGTTAAAGCAGCTCAGGCCTTCCTAACCAGACTCTCCAAACTTAAAATAGTCTTTAAGTTTTCTGACTAAAAAGCCTCACTCTCAGTATTTTCTGGCAAGGGTACCTTTACCAGAAAGGAAAGAGCCTGAGAAAGATTTCAGTGCTCTGACTTCTCCTTAATTATACTGTTCCCTGGGATTGGGTTGAGTAAGGAAACTAATTTATTGAGTAGCCTCCATGTAGCAAGCATGTATTAATTAGATGCTGTATTTTTATTTTAATTCTTAAGTTGGGTTTATAATTCATCCTTCTTAAGGATATCGTTTGATGAGTTTTAACAAATGTATACAGTCACGTAAATCAGGATATGGAACATTTCCATCACCCACAAGGTTCTCTCACCCTCCTTTGCCGCTGGCAACCACTGGTCATGTATCTGTCCCTGCAGTTTTGCTCTTTCCAGAATGTCATATAAATGAAATTCTTTCATTGCTGAGTAGAATTCCGTTTTATAAATGTGTACCACAAGTTGTTTATATATTCATCTGCAGAACACCTCTGGATTATTTCCAGGTTTTGGTGTCTAAACCAAATGTCTAAAGCTGCTGTAATCATCAGAGGACAGATTTTTATTTGGAAAAAGTCTTCATTTCTCTTGGGTAAATACCTAGGAGTTTACTGCTGGGTTGCAAAGGAAAATGTGTATTTAACTTCATAAGAAATTACCAGACTCTTTTCTAAATTGTTTCTTTCCCCATCAGCAGTATGTGAGAGTTTGAGTTCCTCAGTATCCTTGCCAACAGACTTTTTAAAAAATTTCAGGCATTCTATAGGCATGGAACGATATCTTAACTGTAGTTTTATCTTTTTTTTTTTTTAGTTTTAGAGAGAGAAAGAGAATCTCAAACAGGCTTCACACTCAGTGTGGTATTACTGTAGTTTTAATATGCATTTCTCTGATGATCAATGACACTGAACATCGTATCACATGCTCTTTGCCATCTGTATCTTTAGTATGTCTGTTCGAATCTTTTGCCCGTTATTTGAGGCAGGGAACAGGGATTGTCTTAATGAGTTGAATAGTTCTTTATATGTGCTGGATACATGTTATTGTGTTTTACAAATATTTTCTTCCAGTCTGTAGCTTCTTTTTTATTTTCTTAACAGTGTCTTTAAGAAAGGAGAAGTCCAACTTTAATAAGCTTAAATCATTTGGGTAGTTTGTGCATTAAAAAGTCATTCCCGTATCCAAAGTCACAAAAATTTTCTTCCTTGTTTTCTTCAAGAAGTTTCATAGTTTGGCTCCTGCCTTTAGTTCTATGATCCATTTAGACTTAATTTTTGTATATGGTGCAGGATTGAAGTGGTTTGGTTTGTTGTTGTTTTTGGTGCATGTGGATGTCTGGTTCTTTCAGCATGTTTCAGTGGAAGGGCTGTCTTTTCCTATCGAATTATTTTGATGTCTTTGTTGAAATCAACTGGCAACATATTTGTGGGTCTATTTCTTTTTAATGACTATCAGAGCAGATAGTTTAAGATTCTTAATTAAGTCTGTGGATTCTAATCCTGTCTTTTAACACTTACCAACTTTGATACCTTGGGCAAATTATTTAATTTTGCCATGCTGCTGTTTCCTCCTCTGATAAATAGTGATAGTAATAATAGTTCCCTCATAGAATTCCTGTGAGACTTTTAGAAACAATACACATAAAGCTCTTAGAAAAATATCTAATATGTGACAGGTTTTATTAAATGTTAGCTGTTGTTATTTTACCAATCTAATAGATGAAAAATTATATTAGTGTTATTTTTAGAGTAGATACATTACATAGGGTCTTTACAACAACCCCTAAAGCTTAAAAAATCTTCCTGATTTTTGGAGGTGGCAGCTAAGATACAGGGAATGTGAGCACCTTTTCCATAAATATTGGGAGACTGTGTAGCCCAGAGTTTGGCCTGTCTGGGTTCTAATCTCAGCTCTGCCACTTGTGAGTTATTTGTGTGACCTGACCAACTAGCTTTGTGGTCTGGGGTTTTGCTTTCCTCACCTGTCATAGGGATAATAATAGTACCTAATGTATAGGGGAGTGGTGGGAATCCGTGAGTTTACTGCATAAAAAGTCCCTGACATAGAGTCAAGGCTCAGTAAAAGCGAGCTGCTTCCCTCTGTCATCCTTTGGTGTTGTCGTTCTATTTTTTTTTTTGTCGTCATCATTTTTCCAAATTGTCACAGGAGGCATGACAGGATAATTTGTTTACTTTATAATAAACTGATAAACCAAGTCGGTTTTTACTATGTGTGTGATATTTATTTAGAAAGTGTGTAGGTTTTGCTATTTTAGGAACTTAGCTCTTCAGTACATCTGTTTCTTTATTTTTAACTGTAATCTTAAAACTTGTCTTTAAAAGAGGATGTTTATAGATTTTTTTAATCCATTCATTTAGGGCTACGAAATATTTGTTAAATCAGATCCATCTTAATGTTTCAAATTAGAGTGGGCACCTACTTTTCAAGGAAATGCATTCCTGGGAACAGCTTTGTAAGGCAGATTTTCATATAATAGACAGCCAATATGTATGAGTTTATTTAAACATTGGGTTTCTTATTGTTGCAAGTTGAGTAAACTGAAAAGGTAGTCAGAAGTGAGGTGTACATGGTTATCAACTCTGTTGAATGTGCAGAGAGGATGGGAATAATATTTTATTCATCTTTTTATTTCCAGAATTTAGCTTGTTGCCCTTTGCCAGTGAGTGGTATACAGTAATTGTTCCATAGATGTTATTTGAATGAATGAGTAAAGAGCCTCAGGACTGTGCTAAGTATATATGGTCATGAAAGTGTTTTACTCTTTGTGTCATGTGGGGATAGAGAACTATCAGTAAATGGACACTTGTGATTCATATATACATTTTAGAATTATTTTGAGCATTCTCATATATATATACTACAATTTCTTTGTCTTTCACTTATTTTTAGGAGGGCCAAATATGTGGGCTATTACCTCTGAAGAACGGACTAAGCATGACAAGCAGTTTGATAACCTCAAACCCTCAGGAGGTTACATAACAGGTTTGTGTTTATATTTCAAATACGAATTAAGTTCCTTTTCATGTAATGCCTTAGAATTTAGAATTTTAACTTGGTCACCATCAAATTTGTATTATTATGTGATAAAATTCCTATCAGAATTCATGAATTTTTTCTCCTTTTTTTTTTTTTTTTTACAAATAGTTTGTTGTCAAATTGGTTTCCACATAACACCCAGTGCTCATCCCCACAAGTACCCTCCTCCATGCCCACCCCCCCCTCCCCTCCCACATCCATCAGTCCTCAGTTTTTGTCAGCATTCAAGAGTCTCTCATGGTTTGCCTCTCTCCCTTTCCCCCACCATTTCCCCCCTTCTTCTCCCCCTTGTTCCTCAGTTAAGTTCCTCCTAATCCTCCTATACATGCAAACATATGATATTTGTCCTTCTCTGCCTTATTTCGCTCAGCATAACACCCTCAAGGTCCATCCATGTTGCTACACATGGCCAGATTTCATTGTTTCTCATTGCCAAGAATTCATGAATTTTAAAAAGAACAGTGGTTTTATTTTATCTGGAATTGTCTTAATTTGTTGTTTTGGAATTGGCATATGGAAGATATTTTCCTAATCCTAAATGGATAATCACAAATTTCAGTTTAATTGTCCGGCTTCACACTTTAACATTATTTCTAGAATGTTTTCAGGTTATTTCTTGAGGTAATTGAGACTTTTTTCCAAGCAGATTTATTAATGTGCTCCTAATATGTTGTGCCAATTACCTGTATAACAATCAGTATTACTAAGTCTAGAAGAAGTATGTATCAGGTCCATTTCCTTGAAAATAATCTAGAATTGGGGCGGCTGGGTGGCTTAGTCAGTTGAGCATCCGACTTTCGCTTAGGTCATGATCTCGCAGTTCGTGGGTTCGAGCCCCGTGTCAGGCTCTGTGCTGACTGCCAGCTCAGAGCCTGGAGCCTTTTTCAGAGTCTGTGACTCCCTCTCTCTCTGACCCTCCCCTGCTCACGCTGTCTCTCTCTCTCTCCTAGAAATAAATAAAACATTAAAAAAAAATAATCTAGAATTTTTTTTCTGCAATCTGTTTTTATAATGCTAGTCCTCTGTTTTTGAGAGGCAATACCAAGTTGATTGTTAGCACTAGCCCTTGTTCTGCAAGATGACCTACGAAGCCTAAGGAGGATTAATTTAGGTGTATCTTTCAAATTTTTTTGTATAAATCAAACTTTTTTCCTGTGCCAAAGCACGTGAGCACTTTATTTACAGTAATATAATGAATAATATTTACCAAATCTGTACTGTATTTCAGATGCTGTACATAAGTGCATTATCTCATTTAGTCTTGTAATAGCCTTGTAAGATAGCTACTATTGTCTATATTTACAGATGGTTAGTATTGATCTGGGCTTTGAAACTTTTTAGTCTGATTTTGGAATCCATCTTCTTAGCCATCAGACTTTGATATTATTTGTACTTCTATAATACTAGCTCCCTTTCCTGGTATCAGGGCTAGGATTTGATTACCCTACTTATAGGTTAACAGTGTAGTCTGTTACTGTCTCATGGATGCTGGCATAAGACCCAAGGTTCCTGATCAGAGACAATGGAATGAATTATTACATGCTGTTATTATGAATAGCACGGCTAGCAGCTTGGAGTATCAGCATGTTCCTCTTGGATTCTCTTGTCCCACTGAGGCCTGAGGGCCCAAAAGTGATGTAGAGAGCCCAAAAGGATGTTAAACATGCAGTGATTGTGTTATAGGACAGGAACACTGAGCCTGTGGGGGGACCCACCATTTTTAGGACGCAGGCTTCTTTTTTGGCCCAGGGGAAAACATTACCTCATGCTTCAAGATTGCTCAATGCAAACCCAACTCTGAGAAATGATCCAGGTAGGAAGTAGTTAAGGGTCTTGCCTCCTTGTGCCACACAGCAGGACACAGAGGATTGTGGGAGACCCATGGGGGACTGTCTTTCCCAACACTTGTTATTTTTTATTTAGAACTTTTCTAGAGAATAGTGTTTTTCAATTATAAATTCTATTAAATGGAAATATTAAATAATACCCTAGTTAATATGGAAAAACTAAGATGAATAATGTAACCTTTCATTATTGATTAATGCATATAACATCATTTTTTTTAAGTATTTATTTTAGAAAGCACAAGTCGGGGAGAGAGGCAAGAGGAGAGAAGGAGAGAGAGAGAGACAGAGACAGAGAGAGAGAAAGACAGAGAGAGAAAATCCCAAGCAGGCTCCACACTCAGAGCGGAGCCCCACACAGGGGTCAGTGCCACGACCCTGGAATCGTGACCTGAGCCAAAACCAAGAGCCGGACGCTCAACCAGCTGAGCCACCCAGGTGTCCCATGTATAACTTTACTTATGAGTTTTTTGTTTTAAAACATCTAAGCCTTATTATTGTAATGTAATTAATTGTATATGTGTATTTCTGTTTAATTCTTTAATAATTAAAATTAAAATGATAATTCAATAGCATTATTATTATTGTCCATTATTATTATTCAGAGGCATTGGAGGAATTCCATTTACTAATGTGCTATTTGATGTTTATTTTTATTACCTTCAGGTGACCAAGCGCGTACCTTTTTCTTACAGTCAGGCCTGCCAGCTCCTGTTTTAGCTGAAATATGGTAAAGTGTTCTTTTTTGTAAATGAACTTAAATTTCTGGTAGTTTGGCTTTGTTTTGTTTTTTGATACTGTGTTAATAAAAAGTTGTTTTTACTTGCAGTCTGTGTCATTAAGTATTCAGCTATTAAAATAATTAATTTTATTGAGTAAATGAGAATAATTGGGATTTTATTCTATTGGACAAATTTTTTTTTTTTTTTTACAAATAGTTTATTGTCAAATTAGTTTCTACATAACACTCAGTGCTCATCCCCAAAGTGCCCTCCTCCATGCCCATCCCCCCCTCCCCCCCACATCCATCAGTCCTCAGTTTTTGTCAGCATTCAAGAGTCTCTCATGGTTTGCCTCTCTCCCTTTCCCCCACCATTTTCCCCCTTCTTCTCCCCCTTGTTCCTCCGTCAAGTTCCTCCTAATCCTCCTATACGTGCAAACATATGATATTTGTCCTTCTCTGCCTGACTTATTTCGCTCAGCATAACACCCTCAAGGTCCATCCGTGTTGCTACACATGGCCAGATTTCATTGTTTCTCATTGCCATGTAGTATTCCATGGTATAGATAAACCACATCTTCTTGATCCATTCGTCTGTTGATGGACACTTAGGCTCTTTCCATGTTTTAGCTATTGTGGAGAGTGCTGCTATGAACATTGGGGTCCATGTGCTCCTATGCCTCAGCATTTCTGTATCCCTTGGGTAAATTCCTAGCAGTGCTATTGCTGGGTCATAAGGGAGTTCTATTGTTAGTTTCCTGAGGAACCTCCACACTGTTTTCCAGAGGGGCTGTACCAGTTTACATTCCCACCAACAGTGCAGGAGGGTGCCCGTTTCTCCACATCCTCGCCAGCATCTAGAGTTCTCTGATTTGCTCATTTTAGCCACTCTGACTGGCGTGAGGTGGTATCTCAGTGTGGTTTTGATTTGTATTTCCCTGATGAGGAGGGATGCTGAGCATCGTTTCATGTGTCTGTTGGCCATCTGGATGTATTGGACAAATTTTTAATGTCCTTAGAATTTTTGAGGAGAGATGTATACATTGCCATTGAAAAACATTTCTTTATAATTTGGCATACTCTCAAAATCTTTCATTTCTTTCATCATCTGTAAACTCCACAAATTAGCCTGCCCTTTCCCTGCTCTGACCTTAAACAGAATTGCATTTTATATTATTTAGGATTTTGCCTTTTAATGTATACAATAAATATCAACTGCTACCTCATCTTCCTTTCCACTTGGAATATTCCCATGCCTGGCGGAGTACCGAGCACATTGCAAGCTTTAAATAAATATTTGAACAAATTAATAAATTAAATTTAGAATGATTATACTCTTGGATAATTTCTTTCTGTCCACACTGGTGGAATTCATACCAGAGGTCTCATAGGTTCTCTCTACATGGATTCTCAGTAGACCGGCAGTATTTTATAAGATGATATCCTTGTTCATTATTTCTTAATGTATCAGTCTTAGCTTTTGGGGTTTTGTTTATTTTTAAGTGTATGATTATCACTAGGTGATGATCTACATGTGCATGCTATGTCATTGTTTGTATTTTATGATCCTCAAAAATAATGGTGACCTTACATACCATTTTGCCCACCTCATGGTCCTTTTAGGGCTTTATCGGACCTGAACAAGGATGGGAAGATGGATCAGCAGGAGTTCTCCATAGCGATGAAACTCATCAAACTGAAGCTGCAAGGCCAACAGTTGCCTGTGGTCCTCCCTCCTATTATGAAACAACCTCCTATGTTCTCTCCGTTAATTTCTGCTCGTTTTGGTATGCATTATTAATTGAATCAGCTGCATTTGATAGTTAAGCTTGTCCTGGACAGAATAACAGAAAAGGATTTGTTAGCAAAAACAGTAGTCCTCAGACTCCACGTTAGATTTCATGTCTGAAATAAGAAATATTAAAGTCGCTGTCATAGCAGCATCCCAGTTTTCCAGGGACAGTTCTGATTTATGCCTGTTGCCCTGGCCTCAAGTCTGGCTAGTGTCCCCTTTCACAGTTCCCAGTTGGATGAAAAATTGCATGACCCCACCCATAGTTAGAGCTGATCTTAAATACTATTCTTAGTTTCCTCTATACCCTGTATGAGTAACAGAAAAATTGCGAACAACTTTAAACTCACTTGAAATGGTTTAATTTAGGGGGTAGTTTAAAATTATTCCTAAGTAAAGGTTTTTCTAATTTAAACATTAATTATCTAGCTAAATTTAGGGCTAAAAGTTATGGACTTTTTGCTCATCAATTTACATTTTCATCAGAGGGAATCAGTTTTCTGTTAATTTTTATTAGGCAGTTTCTTATTATATATGAGAAGTACTCATTAGAATAGAACATTCAGTTTGACATTTTTGCGTACCTGAAACCTGTTCTTTCATTCCAGATGTTAGATCTTAAAACACTAAACTCTTTTCACTACTGCAGTGAGCTCTGGACATAAATACCAAATTGTTGTGTGACCGTACTTTTATGGTGCACCAAGTAGCCTGCAGTTAGTAAATGAATAAAAGTCATCATCTTGTTCTTTTTAAAGAATTGTCCTTAGGGCCCATGGGTGGCTCAGTCAGTTGAGCATCCAACATCAGCTCAGGTCATGATCTTGCAGTTCTTGGGTTCAAGCCCTGCGTCAGGCTCTGTGCTGACAGCTGAGAGCCTACCTAGAGCCTGCTTCAGATTCTGTGTCTCCGTTTCTCTCTGCCCTTTCACTGCTCATGTTCTGTCTCTCACTCTCTCAAAAATAAACATTAAAAAAATAATAATAATGCAGGTGCCTGAGTGGCTCAGTCGGTTAAGCATCCAACTTTGGCTCAGGTCATGATCTCATGGTTCATGGGTTCGAGCCCCACGTCAGGCTCTGTGCTGGCAGCTCAGCCAGCCTGG